GCCCCCCCCCCMCCCCCAAAAAAAAAAAAACAACTCTGATGAAACAGTTTGTCACAACCCCGCATTTGTTGTCCTCTTCTCCCTCTCTCTGTCTGCAGTTTACGGGTCAGTTCTGTTCGACAATATATACAGTTCTGTTTGACGATATATGTATAGCGTTGCACGTGAGAGGCACGGTGAAGGGGGAGTTAAAGAAGACTGAGAAAGATGAATGGTTTCAGTGTGTCCTTCATGTTGGTCTTGTATTTCTATTTTTAGTTTACCATTTGATTCCCAAAGTGCGCTCGTTTAGTTCATATTACTTATGTGACAATATATGTAGCATCAGTGCTGGGCCGGCAACCGGCCGGTTGAGCTACCCCGGTCCAACCGGAGCCGGACCAGCCCAGGGAGGGTGAACCGGGAAACAGGTTTTGAAAAAAAAGTGCCCAAATATATATATATATATATATATATATATATATATATATATATATATATATATCCTGATGAGTCGGTGAAACTCCGACGAAACAGTTTGTCACAGCCCCTCGTTTGTTGTCCTCTTCTCTCTCTCTGCCTACGGTTTACCGGGCAGTTCTGTTTGTGACGATATATATATATATATATTTTTTTTTCTTCGGCAGATTCTGACTGCGCTCTTCAAGAGCTGTCGGAATCCGCAATAAAATTTTCAAGGTGCAATATTTTTCAGGGGGCTTCCAGAGGGGGGCAGGGGGTTATTATTGCCATATTCAGGCAACTATGGCTTCCACGGGGAGGGGTCAAGTAAGGAAGTTCACTTATCTGACCCCCCCGTGGCTGGAGCACTTCGTGGAGTGGGTCATTCGATATTGATACCCCACGAGCTGAACCAGATATGATGAGAGGAGGTCCTTGCCAGAAGTTATAGCTCTTGCAGAGTATAACTCGACAGCAGAAGAGTTATGGTTCCAGCTTTCAGCTCGTGAGGCAGAGCGTTTTCTGTTTGTTGGTTTCTACATAAGGTGAGTTATCAGTCCGGAAGTGTCTTTCCTGGCAGTCTGTCCAGATACATGTAGTGGAGCAAGGTCCATTCGAGATAGATCGAGAGAAGAATATAGCTTAGGTCCATTCGTGGGCTTACACCTTGGACGGCTCTGACATCACGATTCCAAAATCCGAACCCATAACTTTTTCCACAGATGTTTCCACAGATGGCACGGACGTTGCAGAAGGATATAATCTCAGCAGAGCCTCATCACAAGCATAGTGTTCCCCTCGTGGCTGAGGGTGAAAGAGCATCAGATGTTGCCAATGGTAACCGGTCCGTTGGACCACAAGATGACAAATTGGAGAAGGGGCCAACCCGACCCACATCTTAAGAAGAATGTGTGGCGGTTCTCTGCTGCTGATCTGCAAAGATCAGCGGCGGATATCCTCTGCCCGTTTTTCTTAAGAAATGGGGTCCTGGCCGATCTTTGCCCCTGATCGGCGGCCAAGATTGGCCACTTTTTGGACTTGAAAAATCCGGGCCTACAGGACCCGGTTTCGAAATTGCGGGGCGGGGCCCACCCCCACAAGGCCTCGGGAGCACATACGCGCTGGCAAGGACCGCGGATGGGTCAGGGTCCCCAGTCCATCCCGGGACCATCCCTGTGTAGCATATGGTTTTGTTTTGTTTTTTTTTCCCAAAAACATTTCTATTCTAGGGGGCATCAGTCCGGTTGCTTATCCCCGGCAAGCATGAGTTCCAAAGTACGAATTATTTGTAGGAAAAGAGGAAAGCCTTACCCTTGTGGCCCTAGACGCCTAACAAGGGGGGGATTGCTACAACCGATCCCTCTTCCCATACGATAGCCTTCCCAGGGATACTTCTGTTGGTCGGGAGGCTTCCTAGCAGCACCCAGCCACACAACAGATGGGTCCCCAGGGAAGGCCTGGCCCGGGGGGGCCGTTCTAGCAGTCTCATGGGCCTGACATCCTGTCAGTCACACCCTCTGTTCAACCATCTTTTTTGTACCTACTAACACTCTTTTAGTCTAGATCCTTCCCTATCCCGTCTTCCTATTGAATCCTTAAGTCTCGTCTAATTTTTACACCAATCTCCTTTGTCCATTCTATCAGTCACACCCTCTGTTCAATCCTCTTTTTTATAACTACTACACTCTTTTAGTCTACTCACTTATACCCGGCTGCCTATTGTATGCTCAAGTCTCATCTAATTCTTACTCCCGTCTCCTTTGTCTTTGCTATCACCTCTTTCCTCTTGCCCTTCCCCCCCTTCTAATCCAGGCTTTTCAAACCTCACATTTCACCCTCATTCTATTTACACCGCCCTCTGGTTTTAAAGCCATTCTAAAACCAGTAGTTCTCCCTTATTTTAAAAGGTTTAAGTCTTATCCCCAGCAGCATGTTCATCAATCCAGGTTAAACCCATATCCTTTACTCTTTTCTTTTCCTTTTTTCCCCATTTTTGACTCCCCTTCCTCCCTACTTTGCCTTCTACCAGCTTCGTAACTCCTTCTACCCCTGTATCCTCCCATTCCCCCCTACTTCCTACCTACTTGAAGCCATTCTATTCTACTGACTGACTGCTGCTTGTATCCTCTTTCTCTGGTCCAGGCACATAGTGTCTACTTCCTACCTACTTAAAGCCATTCTATTCTACTGACTGACTGCTGCCTGTATCCTCTTTCTCTGGTCCAGGCACATAGTGTTGCAAGATTGGTCCGAACTGCAGCTGCCCTGTGCTAAGGTCCCGCGTCAGCATCTGCGGGAACGGGGCCCATCTCTGCCAAAAGCCTGCCTCCTTTGCTTCCCCTATGCGTCTACTTCGGTGCAGGTCCGCCAATATAGCAATGTGAATATTCTCCAATGCTCTCTCCAGATAGGCCCGCAGCGACGGAGACACTCCTTGCCTACATCTTTCGTTCTCAATGTCCATAGGGCCCATAACACAGCAGCCCTTACAATCTCTTGCACCACCATCTCTCCCATACCCTGCCTGTTAGGTTTGATCAGGGTACCTAGTAAGATCTCTGCATCGGTCGTTTCGTCGACCTGCAGCGGTGTCTTGTCTGCAATTTCCTGCGCCCACCACTCCCAAAACACCTGTACCCTTGGACATCGCACAAAGAAGTGGGGGACTGTTTCCACCTGGCCGCATTCTGCAGCACAAGTTTGGTTCTTATGACCACTTTTGGTGGCCAGCCACTGCGCAGTCGGGATTGCCAGGTGGTAGATCTGCCATAGCAGGCCCGCCTGCTTCTGATCTGGCAAGGAAGCCATGATGTTGCATTGTTCGTTCCACCTCCGCTGTGTCCAGTTAGTGAGACGCCCGTCCGGCAGCCACTCTCGTTTAGCCCACCTCTCCTTCAGTTCACCACAGATGTTCACCGGTTCCAACAACGAGTTGTAAACATTCTTCGTGGTCACCTCTTGGAGCGGCATGGTTCTCCTGTGTGTCCTCTGGGGGGGCCATTCCTTGTCTCTCGGATTCCAGACTAGGTCCCTCAGCCGGATTGCAGTGCGAAAAGGCAAATATTGTCCAACCGCTTTCTTCCCGCCTTCGCATACCGCAACCGTTTCCACCAAGGCTCGTGCTATTCTTCTCACAGAGTGCAAATCTTGCAGTGGTTCCTCCAATCCCTCCCATCCCCATCCTGGCCTGTCTTGCCATGCAGTGACCTCCAGGTCTACGTTCGGCATTACCTGTTTTACTCTATAGAGCCTTTCAGGCGCCTCATTCCCCTTAAGCTTAACCCACTGTCCCCCTCCTATCTTGTCTTTTTTTAACATTTCCACCCACTGGGACGGAATAGCATCTCTCATGTCCTTAACCCGCTGTGCCTTCTTCATGCGTCCGTGGAGGGCTGGGTCCATCTCTTCATATCTTCGCCAGTCCTTCCGATTCTCATCCCACAAAAGTCCCACCTTAAAAATGCCCTGCTCCGCCCATTTCCATTCATAAGCCCTCGCGGCCCTTGCCATGGGTAGGGGTCCCTTGCCTCGTCACAAATGAAGCGATTGTCAAAAAGCAGCTGGTTATAAACGGCATCTGCCGTTTCCGGGAGCCGACATCTCACGTAAATCTTCTTCCACAAAGCCAATTTTTGAGTCCACACAGTCCCTCTACGAATATGGCCCATCGCGGAGCTGCTGAGCAGGCAGAGGTCTGCTATCTCTCTAGGTGCCTGGAGAGCGTATGCAAGGTGAGACAGCGTCACCTCTTGCCAAGTCACCCCCTCCGTGCGCAAGAGAACCCTGATGAGTTGACGCAGTTGCAGTGCAATTATTTGTAAGCACGGCTCCAGCAGGCCCAGCCCTCCAAATCTTCTCGGTTGGGTGAGCTTGCACCAGGCAACTCTGCATATGGAGTTCTTTGCCGTCGCATTGTTTGACCACACATGCGCATGAACCGCCCTTCTAATGTACCGGAAGGTACGCCTCCCTGGCATATGTATTGCACCCGCATACCAGAAGGTGGCCAGCACCGAGTTCTTGATCACTATAGCCTTTCCAAAAGGCCCCATACTCCCTCTCGTGGTCCACGCTTGTAGTCTTGCCACCGCCGCAGTGGCTCGCATCACCATCTGCTCAATCCCTCCATAGCTTGGTGTTAAGTTGGCCCCTAGTAATGCCATTCGCTCTCCTTCGCCTATTGTGGGGATGTCCCGTCCTTTTGGACGATCCATCTCTGGTGGCAGAATGACCCTGGATTTCTGCCAATTCACCCGTGCTCCTGAGTACCTGCAGAAGATTGCAAGGTCTTCTTTAAGAATGTCCAGCTGCTGAACCGTTGGGACGATTGCTGCTCCAGTATCGTCCGCGAAGGCTGTGGATTGCAGTTCCGCTCTTGGTCCCGCCTTAAGACTGATCAGGCGACTGTCGGCCCACAGTATCTCGTGCATTGACTCGATGTAGTTGACATAGAGGGCGGGAGAAAGCGGACACCCCTATCTCACCGATCCAGCAACTCGCAGCCTATCCGATCTTACCCCATTAACTTGCATCACAGTCGAGGCTCCATATAGCAGACTACGAATCCAACTGCACAGGATGGGTCCAATTCCCCTTCTCGCCATTCCTTGCAGTAGGAATTCCCATCTGACTCAATCATAGGCCTTCTCGAGGTCTATTGATACAAAAGCCATGGCCTGTCCTGTGCATTGCTCCTCCTCCAGTATTTGCTGGGCCAGTAGAATATTCGACACAATCTGGCGACCTGCCACGAACCCAGTATGAGTATGATCGATAATGCTTGGTAGGGCTTCCTTCAGCCGGTTTGCCAAGATTTTGGCGAGTATTTTATACAGCGCATTCAGGATCGAAATCTGGCGCCAGTTTCGCATGTCCTCCTTAGCTCCCTTCTTAAATAGTAGAACTACATATGCATCCACGAATCCTTGTGGGAGGGCTCCCCCCTTAAGCGCCTCATTGTAAGCTGATGTCAGCAAAATGACGAGAAAATTGCGGAGTTCCTTGTAGTGCTCCGCCGACATTCCATCCAAGCCGGGCGTTTTAAGCCTAGGGAGCTCTGCTATCGCTCTTGCCACTTCCTCTGTCGTAATATCCTCTTCCAATTTACATGTATCCGCGAGGTTGAGGAGGCGCTGGACATGGCTCCAGATGTCCTGCTCAGGTTTGCTGGCCATCTCCTCGGGAGTCCACTGCTCCTCCTCCGTCAGTAATTGGCGGTAAAAATCGGTAACACATTTCAAGATTCCCCGAGTAGTATGCTGCTGTTCAGTCTGGCCTTCGAAGGGGTGATCCATGGCTGTCATTAATGGTGCTGCCTTTCTTGTCGCCACTGTGACAAAGAACTGGCGTGACATTCGTTCCCCCAGCGTGATCCATGCCTCTTTGGTGCGTCTGCCCCATTTAGTAGAGTCTTCTGCCTGCAATTCCCTCCATCCTCGCGCTGCCTCCACTCTCTCTGCCCACCATTCTTCCTCCGTCTGGCTCTCCTCAGGGCCCTTGTTCAATTCCTCCATCTTTTGGGCATGCTCCTCCCCTGTTTTCTTGTGCGCCAGATAGTTTCCCCGCAGTAGCCTCTGCAAAATGTCCCTCAGTCTTTGCACTGCTATCATGATTTGCTTCAGCAGCTGGTCCTGAGAGCATTCTTCAGTCCAGTCTTCCCAAAACTTTGCAATCACAGGGCGATACTCCGGGCTTTTAAAGACCCATGCTGGGATCGCTTTCGGCGGGCGGCCCATCTCTAGGCGACCCACCGGGAATATCGCTTTACTGCTGAATGATCCGACGTAGCCATCGGTGCGATTCGCACTTGCTCCACTGTCTCATTCAAATCCACCGACGCCCATATCATATCAATACGACTTCTTCGGGTTACAGTGTTTCCCCAAAAGGTAAAGGCTCTCTCTTGTGGGTGCAATGTTCTGTAGGAGTCTGCGCATCCAAGGCCTGTCATTCCGTCGACCAGGGCTATAGAGTCTGCATCCACCTGCCGTATAATTGCTGCGTCTCGTTCCGGATCTACAGGTGAGTTAAACTCACCTGCTATTATGAGGTTGTCAATATCCGGGACTAGCATTTGCATGCGTTCCCACATCCGGCACCGTGTGCCCATTTCTGCCGGCCCATATACTGTAACCACCCCCCAAGTCGTTTCGAAGAACCAGTCTGTAACTTCTCCTCTAAAATGCTGGGAGATAAGAATACAGACTCCTCCCCTTGTGCCCTGCGCTGGGGCCCAGATCTAGTGGCCCTTCCACCATAACATCAGTTCAACCGTTTTAGCCTCATTCAGCTTAGTCTCCTGTAGGCACACAACATCTATCTGTTCGGCTTTCACTTTCCTCGCTAATTCCGTTCGCTTGGGCAGCAGTGACTGAGCCACCAAGCCTCTCACATTCCAAGTCAGAAGTTTCAGCCTGTTGCAATTTTTCCGTGTTTGCATCACCTTCCCTTCCCCCCTACCGCCCCCTTCTACCGTTTACTTCTTCCTACGTCCAGATTTATGCATTCAAAATTTGTAAAAATATTATCCTCCTCTATTATTTGCTGGGGGGGTGTCTACGTCCCTGCGACACCCATTTACCATACTTCCTAACCTTCCCTACTATCCCCTCATTCCCCCCGTTCCCAAATACCGGTTCCTTTTTGGAACTGCTCTCCCCCAACTTGTTCATCCTGCGGCAAGCGCGCATTGACACTGTTAAGCACAACCAAGGATGTTGCATGCATCGGATGATAGTCTTGAGGGAGGGTCGTCGGGCCATAGGCTTCAGCAACTTGTATCCAATGCATGCCTCTCATTCCTAACCTCGGGGATCCTGGCCTCCTGGGGATAGCTTCCACGAAATATACAAAATTACATACTCCTCCCCATCCAAGGTCTGTCTCACGAATCGTGATGCTGATTTCTGAGGCAACGCCACCACCTCATACCTTGGGCCCAACCACTCGGTCACCTTCTCGAGTACTTGCTGTTCCTGAGATAGGCGAGTCACTCCGAAGGTTGGTACCTCCGTCGCTCGCTCCAGGAGCAGTCTGATTTCCTCTGGCGCCCGCCATAAGACGATCGGGCAGACGTAGCCCTCTCCTGCCTTCAGTATGTCATCCAACCTAGCCCCCACTCGCTCCTGCCATGCCAATCTCTCCAGCTGATTCGCAGGTTGCTGTCGCTGTTGCCTTTCCTGCTCCTGCGTGCTCCGGTTCTCAGCGCTTGTTGATTCCACTGGTATGGCTCTTTCTTCCGACCCCTTGCCCCTGCGCTGTATGTTGATCCCCTTCTGATGATCGCTCCTGTTGCTGCTGGCCTGCAGACTGATGAGCAGACTGTTAGTCTTCCCCCAAGCTGTCCGATGTCTCTCTTGTTGAGGACTTCGACGAACTCTCCTCCTCTTGGCTGCTTGTCTGTTCACCCCCCACCCCTTCACCTGGGAGTCCAAAGCTTGGTTCTCTGAGAGGGACCGATCCCGATGGTGGTGGCGATTTGTCCCTTTTTCCTTTCCCTCTCAACGAGTACCTTGGTTCATACCCCTTGGTTCCCAAGTGCGATCACTGTCTTTCCCTTGTATTCTTCAGCCTCGTTCGTGAGATTTCCAATGAAGTCTGCCGTCCCGAGGTCGCATGACTCGTATGTTTCTCGCATTTCAATGTTGCTTTGCTGGAAGAGAAAGTCGGGACTGGGAAACATTCGGCTGATGACGAGTTCTTCAAAGGTCACGCAGTCACTTGTTTTCGCCTACGCCAGTATTTTATCGGTGAGCGATCCATCGGGACCTGATCTGCTATAATTGGCGTTTCATACAGCTTCCTTCCCGGTTGCTGTCTCGTGCCCGACTCCCCAAAGCTGTCCTACTCGCCTCTCTGTTCGGCTTGCCCTTTCTCTTCTCTTTCCTTTCTATCTTGCACTTCCTGCCCCTCTTCTGTCTGTGTTTCTTTCCCCCTCTCACTTTCTCCACCTAGACCCGCAGACTCTACACCCTTCCCTCCTTCCCCTCCGTCAGCGTCCTCCCCAGTCTTTGTGTCTTGTTCCCCCTGCTGTCCACGAGTTCCCTGGCTGATCGTTTCCTCTTGCCCTTCTTTCTGCCGGCTGCTCTCGCCCCTTTCTTCGGCCACCCAGGTCCCCTTTCTTGACTCTACTTGCCCTCCCTTCCCCTCCTTTTCTGCCTTTGCTCACTTCCCCTCAGCGCCTTTCTCCCTTAGATCCCCTCCTGCCCCTTGGTCTTTACTTGAGCTTGTCATTTTGGTTCCTCTCTCTTGTTCCGGCACCTGTTCCGCTTTCCTTTTCCGTTCTTCCCCAAAGAGCCACTGCGGATCGTCGGTCTTCATGCGATAATCTCCCCTCCCTTCCCATGCCACATTCCGGCGATAGCTACCTCCCCATTTAGCCGACTTCCTACGTCTGCCTTCCTGGTGGAATTGGTTTGTTGCATCCTTTCGCGTCTGCGCTGCTGTTCTGACTTCATTCAGCAGGGCCTCGTCCAACTGGAGCTCCAGCTCATGCCAGGCCTTCCTTTCGTCTTGAGGGTTTGACTGCAAGATCAGGTCCATGGTACTTCTCACCTCCCTTTCGTGCAGCTCCTGCAATGTCTCAGCCGGCGTCAAACATCTTCCATGGAGCCCCATATGGCCATGCGTGAAGCACACTTCACATGGCCATGCGAGAAGCACACTTCACAAAAGGGTGTTTCACTCGTTACTACCCGCACTTCCTCAAAGCTGTAGGGTCCTATGGCCACCGCCACACTGTTCTTCAGCGGGTTCTTCAGCGGACCATCCACAACATATCTCACATACTCTCTTTCCTCATCATCCACCAGCTGTTCACTAACTATTGGGCCAAAAAAATATTCCACTGCCCCCCTTGTCCACTTGGCTGGCAGGAGGGAGGGTTTATATACCACCCACGGCCGTCGTTTCCGATCAAGCATTCTGGCCATGTCCATTTCTGCTGGCAACTTCCACGGTTGATATGTCACTTGGCCGTGCACTTCTGCCACGTGCAATTCGTCCCCCTTTCTTTCATATATGAGCCAATCCCTTAACTCGACCGTCGGCACCAAGTATGTGACAATCGTTTCCCCCTCTGTGTCAATTTCCCCTCGCCACGGGCCCCTCCCCAACGTCCATGCTTCCTCCATGTGTCCTACCCATTCCCGCTTGGCTTTCCACGACCAGCCTGCTGTCCCTTCTGGCATCTTGCACGCCACTGTATGCGCCCGTACGTATGTGTTCTGCAAATACATGGTTTCATTCGTTGGCCGCGCGAAGCATACTCCTCCGTGCAGTGCATACTCAATCAATCCACGCCCTTCCACCGGTTGGCGCAGAAGATATGAGCACCTCAGAATCTGCATGAGGCGCCATCGTTCTTGTGCCATCCCCTCCATTTCCTCGCCAATTTCCCTCTCCCCCGCTTCTATGTAATGATCCTTTCGTAGGCTTTTAGGCTTTTAGCTATTTCTTGAATCAATCTTCCCCCTCCCTCCTCCAAGTTTCGTCCTATACTAGTTACCCTCCTGTCTTACTCCTTGAAATGGTTCGCCATCCGTCCACTAGCTGAATCCTCTCCCACGCTTACCGGCAGTTACCTTACCGAACGCTATCGAGGACGTCCTCGCTTTATTGCCAGGTCAGCCAGACCTTACAGGCTCAGTTTCTCAACTCCCGCAGTATTTTCGGCTTATCGGTTCATCAGGAGGAGCTCCTAGATCTCCCCCCGTGTGGTTTCCTCCCCTTCCAAACACCCCCTCAGCCACTTCTCACCTTGCAGAGTTCATCATCTTCTACTCCCTTCCTACCCCCTTTCTCTTTGACCCCACTCGATATTCGTTCAGCGAGCACCATTGAGTTTTGACTCCGACGGGCCTGCCCGACGGCGGTATCTGCATCGTAATCGGAGCGGCCATCGCTAGTCGACTTGACCCTGTGCAGTTCGTCGACGCCTCCTTGTCGAGTCCAGCAGTCAAGGAGAATTCCGCACGGCCCTTTGTTTTGCGACACAGACAGCATCCACGTTACATTAAGATCGGCCTTCGCCGGCTGAGTTTCCTCCATAGCCTATTAAGGTTGACCCTATCCACGCCTTCGACGCCTTCTTGCTGAATCAACTTGGTCAAAGAGAGCCCTTCGCGCGGCGTTTCGCCGCTCGAAGAAAAAAACTAACAAAACCACCCGCGATCACTTCGCACGCGGTGCGCTAAATCTGCGCTAAAAATTCACTCCCGTCTGTTTTAAGTTTTATCTGAAATTTATCCGGAAAATCCAGATAAACCTGCCTCCCCCGGATGTTCCAGCCGAATGATCCGGACAGTTAATCCGGCTGGACATCCGTGTTGGGCATTGGCATGGTAACCCCGGACGCGGACACCGGACACTTCCGGACTGTCTTCCGGACCAGTGTCTGGACTGGTCCGGACTGTCCGGTGATCCGGACATCACCGGACACCGGACAGTCCGGACCGGTCCCCGGGGTGCAAAAATGTCTGGACCCAAAAAAAAAAAAAGAAAAAAAAAGGGGGAGGGGGTTAGGTGGGGGTGTTGGCAGGCACTTACCTGCTTTGCACTCTGTAGTTCAGGCAGCAGAGGACGTGTCTTGCAGCAAAT